ACCTGTAGCACAAAAAATCTTAAAAGGCTAATATAGGGGCCTTAATAATTACATATTATTTTGGGGGTTCCTTATTATAATTATAGTAAAATGGGCCCCAAAACCCTATTCTAATTATTCAGGCCCCTATATTAAGCTCACCGTAAGAGCTGGGGCGCCTTGGAACTGTCAGCCGTGCCAGTCGTGCCGGCCCGCTTCGGCACCAGAATTCGGTGTCTCTCAGCTCGCTGGAGGAGCCTTTCTTCCAAAGGCAGAAATGAGTTTAGGGTTCTAGGGGTATAGGGTTTAGGGCTTAGGGTATCCTGACGACCACGACGACTGTACTACTGCCAATACCACTCAGGATACCACCGACTACGACTACGACGACTGCTACGACCACCAACACTACGATGCCGACGACGAGGCCGACCACCACACCGACAAATAACATGATAATGAAGTTTAACAAATTGCAGTAGTCGTGTATACTCAGTTACTCATATCAGCATCAATGCTCACGTAAAGCAAGCATAGTCATAGTTGAAGCGAGAACGGGAAGGTACAATCTACCCAGAGGCCCCATAGTAGTTCCTTTTGGGGATTACCTTATAGGATCCTAAACAAAAGCCACAAAAAGGAACTACTATGGAGCCTTTGGGTATGCACTGAAACAGAAAGGCGGGATTCCGTGAAAGGGTCGGGCAGTTGTGCCGCAAAGCAGCTGTTGGAGCACGACGTCTTGACTGTCGAGTCTGTGGAGGATGTCCTGAACCGTAAATCCTAAACCCTAAAACCCTAAATCCTAAAACCCTAAATCCCTAAAACCCTAAATCCCTAAAACCCTTAACCCTAAATCCCTAAACCCTAAATCCCTAAACCCTAAATCCCTAGACCCTACGTCTGTGGAGGATGTCCTGAAGAGCGACATCCGCCCACATGCGGACAAAAACTCTACAGGCCGAGGGCCTAAACTCCTGAAGCCTATCGGTTTAGGGCTTCTATGGTTTTAGGCTTTAGGGTGTAGGGTTTAGGGTTTTAGGGTTTAGGGTTTAGGGCTTCTATGGTTTTTAGGATTTCGGGTTTAGGGTTTAGGGTTTTTGGGTTTAGGGTTTCTATGGTTTTTAGGATTTAGGTTAAGGGTTTAGGGCTTCAGGGCTTTAGGGCTTTAGGGCTTTAGGGTTTAGGGTTTAGGGTTTTAGGGTTTAGGGTTTAGGGCTTAGGGTTTAGGGCTTTAAGGGCTTTTAGGGCTTAGAGTTTCGGGCTTTTAGGGGTTAGGGTTTAGGGTTTAGGGTGGATCCCGGCACCGAAAAACACCTCAAGCGCAAACTCGAGAAGCCTGAAGAAGAGGGTTGTAGTCGGACGAGTGGCACTGTGCTAGCAGGACTTGTGTGTATTTTTTTTGTTGTGGGGTCTTGGGTTTTTTGGCATACGTGAAAAATGTACTTCGGTTGGTTTTGCCATGTGCAGGTGATGGCTGAGATCAGGACGGGCTACACCGAAACTGAAACTTCGACCATCAAGCCCCATTTGGCATGATGTTTCCTGGAGTACTGGTATTTTGGAAGTTGCACATGTTCCAAAAGTCGACGAGGTGAAGTATTTAGGTATGTTCTTGGATGCAACTGGCTCAGACAATCGCACAGTCAGCGCTCGAATCTCCAAAGCAGTGCGCACTTCCAAACTTCTCAAGACATTTTTCTCTCACAGGGGCGTGGCAAGAAAATGGAAGCTCGTCATCTATCGGTCGGTACTGTTATCAATTGTCTTAGGCTGTGGGATCATATTGCATAAACCGGTTCATATGCAACGTGTGAACAAGTTCCACTTTCAACAAATGTGCCGCACGTTTTGAAGTCCCCGTACTATCCTAGTAAAACAGCCGTCCACCATCCCATGCCCGCAACATGTTTCCTTTCAGCGACTCAAACTCTTAGGCCATGTACTCCACCACCCGGACTCGCATGAGTACGCGCCTGCATTTGTGCCATCGGGAGCCTACAGACTCCGACATGCTCGCGGATCTATCCGGAGTGGCCGTCCCAGTTGTTTGGAAAAGGCCGAGATGACCATGTCTGAAGACTACATACGGATACGACATCCAGATACGGCTATGGGTTTTGGCTTGGTCCGAATACATGATTCATATCGGACAGGGCCCTCCAGTCGAAGGGTGAAAGCAGTGCAGAACTCTGAACACATCCCGCGCATGGACAACACAATGATTCTTTTTCTTTGCTCTAAGTGATAAATCCAAGAGCTCAACACAGCTTGCTGTGGAATGCAAAACCCTAAACCCTGAACCGTATGGTTGAAGCTGACGTACTGGGGGATGAAGATGAACAGGAAACTCGGAGTCCTGATCTGATTTGTATAGGGGCCTTAATAATTTGAGTAGGGTTTTGGGGTGTACCATACAATAATGATAAAATAAGGACCCCTAAAAAAACGTACTGGTGGTTATTTGGGCTCCTACATTGTATGTATACATATAAATATAAAACAATAATTATGATATTAGTAATAGGAAATCATGTGGATAATAATAATGATACTGATACTGCTACTACTAACAACAATAATAGTACTAATATAAAAAATATCTACATATGCGTATACTACTAACAGCTTTACTTACATATGTTTATACTTTATTCTATAAACGCACATAGATATATATGTGTATATATATATATATACCGCATGCAGCAGCTGTCCTGCTTGATCTGCTGCAGCACAGAGGTCAGTACACCTGCACAGGAAGAGCCCCGAGTCCTAAGCTACGAGCCTTGACCAGGCACTAGCGGCTTCTTAAAGAGAGTTCCCTCTAAAGGGCACGAGAGGCTTCTAGAAGGGCACTATAGGCTTCTAGAACAGAATAGGGTCCCCTTTAAAGGGCACTATAAGGTTCTAGAAGAGGGTCCCCTTTAAAGGGCACTACGGGCTTCTAGAATAGAATAGGGTCCCCTTTAAAGGGCACTATAAGGTTCTAGAAGAGGTCCCCTTTAATGCGCACTCAAGGCTTCTAGAAGAGGGTCCCGTTTAACGGGCACTTTGGGGTTCTAGAAGAGGCCCTTTAAAGCGCACAACAGGGTCCTAGAAGAGGGTCCCCTTTACAGGGTATTATAATACGTTTATAGGATTCTATAATAGGCTGCCCTCCAACGGGTATGATAGGGTTCTATAGTCGGGTCCCCTTTAAAGAAGGGTATTCTAGGGTTCTATAATACAGTCGTCGTTAAAGAATACTACGGGCTTCTATAATAGGGTAAAGCCATGTAGGCTTCAGTGGCAGTGCTCGCCTGCTGTCTCAGAATCAGCGCTGGCAGCACCATGCGCCTGGGACATAAGAGCTCCAACACACTCCCGCGTTTCTATACTGGCCGGATTCGGTGCATAATATGCCCATCTTGAACCCTAACTCATCTTGTGTCTTCCGGCTTAAGTTAGGCATACTTGGACTGGTGAAGAAGTGAATCCGCCGAACAGTTGTGCTGGCTGGCGGTTTAGGACCTAGCATGGCGATTCCTGCAAGGAAAGAGTATCTCAACATCGGTTGCTTCAGGAATTTGAAGACGGGCTCTTGCATAGCCAAACTAGACCCTGAACATACGCCTAATACCCATCCTGTATACATCCCAATAGGAACTCCCAAACCCCTACAACATGCTACAGCCGTGTGACTCCTACACCGCGCAGTTGAAAGGATAACGAGATTCATTAGCAGAGGCAGTATATCTATGCATGTATGCATTTATGCATGTACGCAAATGCATGTATGCATGTATGCATGTACGTATGTACGGATGCATGTCTGCATGTTTCTTTGTTTTGCATGTATGTATGTATGTATGTATGCATGCATGCCTGTGTATATATACATGTGAGGATAAGGGGGGGCGACATGGTCCCAGACAGGAAGTCCTGGAAAGACCATACCTACTGTTCTGGCTTTGGCGGCTGACTTCCAACATGATAGAGTCCGTAACCGCTCTGGACCCGACATCCCTGAACCCTAACCCTACATACTGACCAAACTCTGACATTCTAAGCCCCAAGGAACCCTTACAGGAGGCCCTTAAAAGGAACCCCTTTGAGGAGCCCCTACGAAGAAAGATATCATCCGGCCTTGCCCGGACTTGCATCAAGTGCTGCCCGAGGTCGTTCTACGAGCTCCTGGTAGTTTGGCGCTTTCGGAATCGGAAGTGTTTAGTACAGGGGCCTAAATGATTACTAATAGTATTCTGGGGCGGGGAGACCCCCAAACCCTCGTCTCAGCATGAAGGCCCCTGCAGTAGGGTTTAGGTTTGGGTTCTCGGACTATAGAGGGATTATATGGGGCTGTATAAGTTTTCTCGGGATTCCTCAAACGGGGAATCGTTTTTGGGAGCTGGAGCCGATCTTGGGGGCCGTAGGCAGGATGAACCAGACGGTGGGACCGAAAGCACTAACCATACCAAACCCACAGCTTGCGCGGCCCATGATTTCAGAAGTCTTTCAACGGGTTACAGTCAGTTTTCGTAGATTGTGAACAGACATCCACAATTAAAACACGCCTAACAGCAGATAAGTTATTCCGCTCACCGCCCAGCACACCCCCACCAAACCTATTATCTCTCTAAGCCTTCGAAACCCAATACACTTCACCCATTTCGGGCTCGCCCCGAAACCTAAACCCGGAACCCCTCTACCCCACATATCATATCTTACTAGAACCCTTACGGGAGCCCTTAGAGGCCTACTTCCCTTTTAGGGCCGTCACCTGCTCTGGAGGGGGTGCCGGCTCGACATCTGCCGGACCCAAGTCGTCGGCCATGGGCGGCAATTAAAGAGCTCAGTCCCCCTAAACCCTAAACCCTAAACCCTAAACCCTAAACCCTAAACCCTGAACCCTAAACCCTAAACCCTAAACCCTAAACCCTGAACCCTAAACCCTAAACATGTAAGAATAGAACACCTAGCAACAAGGCCCCATGTTAAGCCATGTAACGTGAATATGCCATTTTCGGGAGTTCTGGTTTTCTTGGATCCTTCTCGTGGGATCATGTAAAGAGGGTGGATCGGTGGGGGAGTTCAGAATTTAGGGATGCTGCAGATAGGAGTCCCTTTAGAATGAGACGGTAGATATTCGGGTCGCATCCCCGAGCAAGCCAAATGAGAAAAAGTGAGTACCGCTGTACCTAACCCTAACCCCTCAACCCTACCTAGCCACCCCCCGGGGGTTGCATGAATAAAACTTCGAGCCTCCATCATGGCAAGATTAAACTGGTGTGAATGAAGACTGCAATGCCCTAAGGTACTCCGTGTACCTCTATAGTGTATGTGTGGGCCTTTAAAGTACCTACATCGGGACTACAGGTACATGGTATGTGAAAACATGGACCCTTATGGGTACTACTGTAGGCCTGGGGGTTAAGGGTCTAGGCTTCAGGGATTAGGGTTTAGAGTTTAAGGACCAATGGTTTGGGGGTTTGGGTTAGGGGTTTTTCGCGCTGTAGGGATTAGGATTTTGGTTTTAGGAGTAAGGGGTGACAGTTTAGGGTTTAGCCTGCCAGAAGAGATCTTTGACCAATCCGTGACGAAGGGTGATTGTCGGACCAGCTGGAGTTTGCACGGTGTTCACTTCGACCCGAACGAGCACGAAGACGAAACCCGAAACCCTACTGTACACCCTAAGCCTTTGCCAAGTCTTCGGTTGAAGGTCGAGCATGACGCCGAGACTTTATCTATGCAGGCTCCAGCTTTGATATTTGTCGGGTCCTGGCACCCTGTAGACCAAAAGGCCCCGAACGCACACGAATCTCTAATCACAGAGTCCTATACGGACACCAAGCCAGAAAGTAGACCAAATTAAGGCACCCGACCTAAACCCTGTAAACCCTAAACCCTCTACACCCTAAACCCTCTAAGCCCACACCCTCCAAACCCTGGAAGCCCTAAACGCTCTGAACCCTAACCCCCCCGAGCTCAGCGCCGCTGTCTCACGGAATCCCAAGCGTGCCAGGGAGAGGCAGGTAACGAGCAGCGCGGTGCTGAAACCAGGGCCGGGCTTGGCTTCTTCGTTTTGTTTTCTTTTTCTTTGGCGGGGGGGGGGGGGGGGGG